GCTTACGTGTGTGTGGAGGATAGCCGTTTGGGAGTCGTTTGACTAGGCTTAAGGAGGTGAGAGATTGGATGTAGCAGGCTGTTACTGCTAGGATTGTACAGTTGAAGTTGCAGTAGTAGAGGGTTAGTTCGGTTATGCCGGCTAGGATGTGCCATGCTAGGTCTGGGATTGTTAGTTCTGTGGAATGTCTTGGGCTGGGGGGAGAGGGATGGATATATGTATGTGTAGAGGGGGAACTGGTACGTTTGTGGTATCCCCGGTATGATTTGCCCCGGTTGATGACAAAATATATGAAGAATATGATGTATAGACCAGTCATGACAACATCCGAGTCATTGGTGTGAATGCGTATGGTGGTTTGCATGGTGAGTGTCTTTTTCTGTGGTTATCTGTCTCGTCTCGCCATAGATTGGTCTGTTGAGGAGAGAAAACTGGTTGATTCCTATTGAGATGCTTGAAACGATCAACTTAATTGTGGGAGAGGCATTCGCTTCAGAAATTCCAACGCCATGCTTATTTATACTTTGCTAATGCTAATATACCCCCCCCCCCCCCCCGTGGGTCTTATGTGCTTGAATGTAACCTATTTTCTAGTTCAGCTGAGTGCTATCCCGATATCCTCGGTGGTTATAGTGTATGTACATAAGATGTACTTTGTATACAGGTCCACCTCTTCAGATGCGTCGTCTGATCCTTCTCCCTTACATATGGTTGCCAAACACTTATTGCCATTACATTCGAATGTCAGTCATGATCATATATTAGTACTTTTTTTTTCGATATATAAGTCATGTTCAAAGGACCTTCTGTAACGAGATTCAATTGATATGGTTTAGCGCCCGCCATTAGTCCCGGGAAGAAAGAAAGCCAAAAGCGAGGATGCCCGATAGATGGCGCGCTAGTCTTCTCATGTGAGGTAGCATCTTTGATGCTATTCAACGCACTTTTACGTCATAGAAACAGGGGGATAACCGGGTGAATCATGACAGTGTATTTACATTATGAGGTCCATGTTCCATGTTCCTTGCTAAACTGACATATATTTCGGGGAGAAAGCGTATTTTCCTTGCAAAATACCTGTCATGGTCGAAAGTCAAAGCATAAAATACTGCACGAGCCGCACGCTCTAACGGTGATAAGCATCATTGGAAATGCAAATCTTTGGTTACCCCCAATGGAACATAGGGGTTGAAAAAGGCTTGTTGCGTAGGTTCCAAATCTAACGGCACTTCTTATTCTTGATAAACATCAGTGTTCCACGTAGATATGACATAAAGCATGACAGTCTGATTATCATCAGTATATCTTTCCTGGTGGCAACCGAATGATAAGACATTCTACGCTCTTAAAAACTACTCGGACTAATCAAATGACTTGACAGGGTCATAGGCGAATTGAGCAAGTGAGCAGCCGGCGCTTGGTAGTAAACTAGGACCAATGAATTAGATCAATCTGGGTGCTGTCTCACTCTAGATGCTCAAGACTAAGGGGGGGGTACTGTATGGACCACAGGAGTGCAGGCAACGCTTATAAGGTTTCTATCCAAAGATTGCAGGTACGTTCAATTTATCATTAATTTTGACTCATTTAGATAAACATACTCATCAAATCTGTAGCGCCCAAAGAGAAGAACGGGGTTTAGAGACACATCACTCTCGTCATAAGTACGATTGGGATTCTTATTTTTGGTAATTATCCCTTACCACAGTCATAATGGTACTGCAATTTAAGCAGACACCGCGGCCTCGGTTGCCTTCTTAAGACGCTCGCCGAGGTCTGCATTAACCTTTGCGAAGAGTGCTACACAAATGTCAGTAAAAGAAACAGCTATATATAGGATAGATGTCCACATACCATAGACCGCATTGCGCAGCTGAGGAGAGCGGACACCCTTGATATGGCCCGCAAGGTTCGCAATCGTTCTGTCCTGGTGGCCGGGATCCCTGCCGATGACTTCCCAGAGAGCGGCGGGTTGGACGAAGTCATCATCCGTAATATGGGTCTGGAAGTTGGTCACTTCTCCCACCCATTTCTCGTGTTCGGTCAGTCCGCTCAGCCGGGCGGCTCCCGAGTTCTTCACCTCTTGGTAGAACTTGGTGGGCTGAAGGGACGAGCCAACGTAGTTGGGGTCGCCGCCGTAGTTGTCGTCGAACCGCATGGCGCCATCTCTCTGGTAAGGGCAGTAGACAGGTGCCTTGGCTGCGTTGGTCGGGAGCTGCTGGTAGTTGACTCCAAGACGGTACCGGGCCGCATCGGGGTAAGCGAACATACGGGCTTGGAGCACTGATATAAAGGTTAGTTAAGAGGGACATGTTTTAGTGAAGAGATAACCTACTTGGATCAGCGGATGGTGCAATACCGGGCACCATTGTGGATGGGGAGAAGGCCGCCTGCTCAATATCGGCGAAGTAGTTCCTGGGCTATACATAGAAGGAATTAGCATCGTGTACTTAAATCATTGCCTAAGCTGGGCGGCACTGTTGAGACATACATTGCGGTTCATGGTCAACTTTCCGATTTGTCTCAGCGGGTAGTCTTTGTGAGACCAAACTTTGGTCATGTCGAAGATGTTCCAACGGTATTTCTCCGCGTCGGCCGGGTCCATAACTTGGACGTAGACGTTCCACACGGGGTAATCACCCTTTTCGATGGCCTCGTACATATCCCGAATGAGGTAATCGGGGTCTTCGCCTGCAATCTTGACAGATTCCTCGGCGGTCATGTTCTTGACACCCTGGGCGCTCTTGATGTGGATCTTGATATATTTGAATGATCCGTCCTGTTGACTTGCGTGTTAGCTACGTCGGTCATCTAGTAAGATGCAGAGAGCATTATTATATTACCTCTTTAGTGAACTTGTAGGTATGTCCACTGTAGGCATTCATATGGCGGATAGACTTTGGTGTTCCACGGTCACTGAAGAGGTGAAGAAGTTCATGGATACCTTCGGGGTTACCGACGTGGAAGCTAAGAGTATTAATAACACGAGTTGATGTGTGCTGAAACAATTGTACTTACTCCCAGAACTATAAAGCAGTCAATATCAGGACTGTATTTAAATCACCACTAACAAAAAGGCCACCACGTGGGCTACTCACCATGTTTGCATCAGGAAGATGAGTCGTAGGGTGTCTCTTATGCGAACGGTTCAGGGAAGGGAACTTAATCGGATCGCGAACGAAGAAGACCGGCTGCAACCAATTAGTTATGTTATACTCTATAATTGAAGAATACAGACCGTGTTGTTGAAAACCCAGTCCAAGTTACCCTCATCCGTGTACGTCTTCATGGCCCATCCATGAACATCGCGAGTAGTGTCGGCCGAACCGGCTTCAGGTCCAACTGTAGATACTCGAAGAAGAACGGGAGACTTCTTGCCAGCCTTGCTCAAGAAGCTAGCAGAAGTAATATCGGAACAATCGCTAGTGGCTTCGAACTCTCCATATGCGCTGTTTTTTCGGTATATAAGCTTGGACTGTTCATGTTGGTGTGCAATATATATAGTTGTATCACTTACCCCACCGCTTTGGCATGGACCACACTAACAACACGTTAGTAGCTATACGAGAAAGATAATATTTGCTATGCATGAATCGAAGGGATTCTTACCGCTCAGGGATTCTCTCACGAGAGAAATGGGCGAGAGTCTCAATGAGTTGCGTATCTTGGAGCAAAGAAAGCCCGCCACCAGAGTTGTTCCGCAGCTGAACGGTGGTGCTGTTGCTAGCAAAAGGGCAGCCTGCTTCAGTTAGTGGATCCAAGTCCTATCTAGATCTAGATATATAATTGGAGCATCACCTTCTGCCAGAGTATAGTAGCGTTCAGCCATATTGATGTTGGTATTTGCAATCAATGTGCCCAAGTACAGTAGTAAAGTAGAATGGATTTATCCTTCTACAATAGCCAGGAGGGAGGGGTAGACAGAGCTATATAGCCTGGAAACCTCCGCAACATGCCATGATCAACTACGCGATATGGTAGTTGTTCCTGTTTCGGTTCGTCCATTGAAGGCTCTACCAATGACATTGAGTAATATGCGTAAGTTTCTGCGTTGTCCATGCAGAGACATCTGCAGTAGTCTCGATTCTGAGTACCACCACAGCAGGATGTTGATTCCACTCCCGAGCATCCCATTGGCGTTAATTGGTGATATATCTGCGAAGTCCGGTTGAAGATGGGGGTGGTGCCGTCATTCGAAGCTCTGAGTTCGGTCGAGTACCCACGCGAAACCCTAACTGCGGGTTGCTGCTGGGAAAATGAGTGATGCGCACAGGCATGCACACATTCTAGACTGGGGCTTCTTCGTGTTGCAATCAGAGAAGCCCCTCACTACTGAGCAGCATTCCTAATCCTGCGTGTCTCATTGGAAGCTTTTTTAGTTCTGTCATGTTGATTAATTGTGGTTGAGATGGAGATGCAGTTGGGAGGGTCCGACCTTACCGGATGCAGTAGTACTACTGACCCAATCAATTTCATGTCACTTGGCGTCTCTGGTAAATGACGTCCTGCACTTCCATACCGATTGTAAATGCTTCTATAAGTTATGACGGTCGCTTTTATAAGCATATAAGTGTCCTGTGGCTCTGGTTGTACTCTATTGTAAACACCGCCTTGAACACCCGAAGAGCAAGTTCTATACATACTTCGAAGTATTCTTGAAAGGAACAAAGATATATTTAACCCTTACCATATTGTTTGACATATCAGAATCCACCATGTCTGAAGGTCAGTTAAGCCTTGCCAAGCCTGACTTTCTGCCAAACTGATGGCCCGCAGAATCGCATCCACAGCAGCACCACCACCACGAGAGCTTCTTCGATCGGATACTCCACCCGGGACGTCACGAAGACCAGGAACAGCACCAGGACCAGCATGAGTCTCAGGACCATGAGTCCCCCAAAAAGGAGAGTGAATTCGACAAAATCAAGGATGACATCAAGGAAGATCAGGAAGAAGTAGCAGAGGGCGATACCTACGCAGGCTTGATGTGAATGCTTTATGACCAGCACCAGTTTGTGCTATTGTTTACAAGGGATGGGATCACTGTCACTTGACAAGGGAGTTTATATGTTATTGGTAATGAATTAAATAAGAATATTGGATTACGGAAAATTGTCCAAGTATAATATGAATCATTTGAATAGGAGACATCTATATCTATAATCAGAAATAATAGTACAGTGGTGGATCTTTTCCCCACCATGAATGCCCGGTCAAAACACCAATCGCTATGCTATATGCTGTACAGATTTTGAAAGGAATCTGGAAAGAAACTATAACAGTGACCCCAGAACAGCCGTAAACATTGCTGTACGGCTGATCAGACTTTAGATGTATGATGGGCACGCTTCTTCTGCCCGATGCTTTGTCGCCCTCGTGCCCCCTTCTTACGTTTCTCCACAGCCTGTTTCTCTGCAATGTACTTCCAGCATTCAATGGGACGTCGCACTCCAACATGTCGTCCGTTCGGAGTGAATATCTCAATCTGCGGTAACGGCCTGGCAGACTCGGCGTCGGTGGGTTTGGCACGGATCTGAGCCGTGAGTTCGACCCAACCACATCCCTCAATGAGTATATCTGCCGACATCACTTTGTATGGCAGGGGAGGGGGCTTTATCCCCTTATCTTCTACTGCCTTTGCGATCGTCGTTGGTAAGTGCGAGTGGGTCACGTCCCACTTAAGGTCAAAGACTCCAGCGGAAGTGATTCGGTTGCCGATACCTTCAATCATGATATTCTCTCCAGGATAAGGACGCTGCTCGGCCTGCATTTCAACAGCCTTTTCGGTTTTGGTGACATGGGCCTCGATCGGGATAAAGCAGGCTGCCATTAGAGCATCGTCAGGGTTCACCGACGTGATTCGTACAAGGCCTCCACCTAGAAGCAGCGATTGGCCTGCCTTTATAGTATACCGTTCTGGTTTTCTCCGTTTAGTCATGATCATATCTCGTTTGTATTCGTCACGGACGTAGTCTGCTAGGTCGCCCCGGTCCATCCCGGGCAAATCGATCATTTCCCCTGTACCACGGCCGAAGGGTATGCGAATCGGCGAAACAGTAGTCCCTGGCAGCGACGAAACAACCGGCAGTATAGGATAAAGGTCTTCCTGGGGGGCAGGTGGTAGAAGGCTGTTGGAGTCAAGCGCAGTGGTATCGCGTGGGCTGATATCCGACTCTGCTTGGCGACGCTCAACCAGTTCAGCAATTTTCTCCAGGTTCTTAGAATCTTTGGGAAAGCAAGCTTCAATGAAACTACTCTTCCCGACATTGGCCTTGCCTACTACCCAGATACCACCCCCGTGGTTCTTGATTTCCTCCTTGACTTTTTTGGTCCACCAGCCTCGGTGAGCGCTTATCATATGCACATTGCCCAGACGGAAATCCTCCGTCGACTTAGCAAGTATCTCTCGGAGGATCGAGCGAACATATTCCATCTTCGAGTCCACTTGTTCCTTGGTAGGAGCTAAAAGATCGGAGCGCGTTATGATGAAGCTGATAGTAGGCAGTTTCTTGCCTCCTCGATATTTCTCGGTGGCAGCTCGCCGGTTGCGCGACCGCTGTTCTTCGATGGAAAGTGCCTCGTATATATTGTCGACAAGAGACATGGGGAAATCTGCGGCGTCAATTACGTGGTAGATCCGGTTATATTTGTATGGTGACTCGTCCAGGTATGCCCCAATGGAGTATATCGTGGGTGAGATTGCAGGAACCGCTTTGTTATGGTGTATGAGATCGTGGCATCTATCGCAAACCTGCACAGGGGGTCGAGACTTCTCAATGTACTCTTTAGCAGTGGCTGTAGCATTCTCAAGTAAAGCGCCATCTAGCAGTATTGTTAGTATCATTCCCTAAGGGAACAGAATAAACACCACCTACGGACAGGTTTAGGAGCGGCCGTTTCTTCCTCCGACTCCTTGATCAATTGCTGAATTGTGCCCGCGGCCTTTTCTCCTTCTGTTTTCAGATCCGCCACCTTCCCGGTTTCTCCATCCTGCACACCAGCTGCTTGTTCTGTCTCAGACAAGAGCTTCCGTGTTTGCTTCCTGGTTTTGCTATAATATCCTGCTTCGCCGGGCTCGACGGTTTGCGCGTATGCACCACATCCCGGACAGCAGACTGGTAGAACGCGGTCAGTAAGCTCTGAAGATTTCGCACGTAATGGAGGACACGAAGATAGAAGGCGTCGCTGCGGTTCGTTGATTAGACCGTTTGCATTTCGAACGGGCAGCACCTCTGGCCGCAGAAAGAAGCTCCGTGAGGACCGCGCTCCGGTGAGCCGGTATAACTGGCGCGGAGAGCGGGAAAAGATATATTTTAATCGAGGTGCTCTTTGAATTATGCGCCCGAGATATAGCGACATGACGGTAAGAATTTTCCACGTTAGGAGGGTCGGAGGTGATATGCGACAGAGATTAAAGCTTGAGCTGATAGCGTTGATAGCGGCGGTCACCCGTTCCGATTTCCGTAACAAGTCCCGTGGCAAACCATGGAAATTCTACGAACAATAACATAAAATTCTATAGAAATGAATGTTACGATTGAAGAAAATATCACCGCAGTTGTATTTGAATTATTTACAAGTAACAAACTATCCATATCCTTGAAACACCCTTAGGCTTTTAGACGCTGCAACAAGAAAAAGAAAAACTTAAAGAGATGAATATCCTGCCTATTTAAGCCTTCGCCTTGCCTTTCCCTTCAGTCTCATCATATTGGCCGTCTCCCTCTTCCTCAGAATCGCTCATAAACTCGTCGTCATCATCAAATCCAATGAACTTCCGCGGGGCTGCAGACTTGGGAGCCGGTTCTGACGGGCCCGGCGCATCCTTCATCTCCTGCTCGTCTTCACTCTCTTCATCCGAAGCAGAAGCAGAATCCTGTCCACTTCCCTCGCTAGCACTCGTACTAGACCCGCCCAAGATATTATCACGTATAGCATCATGAAGATTGTCCGTCCACATGCCATCCTTCATCGCCGCAAGAACAGCCTCCCTAGCCTTCTCGTTCATCTCCTCTTTATCTTCCATCCACTGACCGTCAATCTTCTGCTTGCCGCCGCCATTCTTCAGTTCCTCCTCGCGTTTCTCTGCAGCCTCCACAACGGCCTGCCACCTCCGTCGGCGCTCCTCCTTCTCCTTACGGTCCATCTCCGGCTTGACTGCGAGATACTCGGCGAGCGCTTTGGCTTCATTGACGGTACGGATACGGCGACCATCGAGATTGCGACTGGAGCCGTTATCGTCGCCCTGGTTGCGCTTTCTCTTGCTTGACATGCGCCCACCAGCTGCACGAAGCTGGGAACCAAAACCACCCTTTCCTCCGCATAGGGGCACCGAAAGGCGGAGGGGAAGGAGGTTTGATGTCGCAGTGAGTTCGCCATTAGCAGCAATGAGATGTGAGATTGAAAGGTCTGTCGAAGGTAGTATTTGTTTATTGTTTGTCGTGGTCAAGATGAGTGACTGGAGGGGTACAGATGACGGAATATATGAGGAAACCTTCTCGGTGAGATCTGAGATGGACGAGGTCGATGGGAGGGAGAATGAGAGGGTCGAGGGTAGAGAGAGACCGGGGAATGTTGAAAGGAGGACGTTCACGTTTTGCGGAGCCATCTTTGCGAGGTTTAAGTGTTCCGACCGCTAAATAATTTGTTGTGGGTATCAAGGTAGAATAAGGTCGCAAAGTCGCGACTGCGGTCTGCTGTAATGTATCTTGAAAGTGATGGGAGGCGACAAATGAGGTGGAGTTGATAAGGAACCTTCGGGGGACGGAGGAAGATTGCGTCGACGCCTCAGGCAGTGAAACTCTCACTCGTCGATCACATGGCGATAATGGCGGATGTGACTAAGCCATGCTGATTAGGGTGTCAACCCTAGCTTGCGCTTCCGAAAGAGGAATCACGCACTTTCAACTTAACCGCCAGTCGCTCCACTCGATCCCATCCATCATTTAAACCAACCACCACCCTCTTCGCGTTGTTAGAGCGATTCCCCGAAGAGCGCCAGGAACTCGCAACAATGTAAGTTTACAGGTCAATGTTCATAACTGATAAGCAATGCAAAGCTAATAACTCTTCAGGCTTATCCCTAAGGACGACCGCAAGAAGATCCACGAGTACCTCTTCCGCGGTATGTGAACGACGCCTCCAGTCCCCTGTCGCATTGGCCGGTCCAATCCACCTCGCTCTTTGAAGACCACTGTCGCTGACTGATTCCCTGAACAGAGGGTGTGCTCGTGGCCAAGAAGGACTTCGAGTCCAAGCATGCCGACATTGACACCAAGAACCTCTACGTGATCAAGGCCCTCCAGTCCCTCAACTCCCGCGGCTATGTCAAGACCCAGTTCTCCTGGCAGTACTACTACTACACCCTCACCCCCGAGGTATGTTTGCGCCTGTTCAATTGCTACCGTGGACAATGAGGAAGGGTTGTCTAACTTGTTGCTTTCTAGGGTCTTGACTACCTCCGTGAGTGGCTCCACCTCCCCGCTGAGGTTGTCCCTGCCACCCACATCAAGCAGCAGCGTTCCCACGCCCCCCCTCGCGGTATGATGGGTGGTGAGGAGCGTGAGCGCCGTCCCCGTCCTACCCGTGAGGGTGGCTACCGCCGCCGCGACCAGGAGAAGGAGGGTGGTGCTCCCGGCGAGTTCGCCCCTAACTTCCGTGGTGGATTCGGCCGTGGCCGTGGTGCTCCCTCTTCTTAAGGGATGTCTTCCGGTCCTCCTAGGGTTTGGATGGTAGCGTGAGTGGCTTGAGTAGACTTTGGAATAAGTGCGAAAAGGCTGCTGCGCCCATCCTGAAAAAAAAAAAATTATGCATTGGTGCTGTATCGATGTAACGGCATAGCTAGAATCAATGTCATGATTTTAATGAGTCAACATTTCATTTCATTTCGCGTAGTACGTTGAAATCATAGAGTGTAATGACATACATAAAACAGCTCACGCTTCAGCCCTGGCTCACGGCATATTCTTGCAAATATGTTAAGACCATGTAAAGAAAGCATTACGATCGGTAGTCTTCACGTGAAAGAGCAAAGAGGTCTTATCTACGACGAGAATCTCTTCCGGTCATACCGGACCACCGCTTGCAAAATGACAGATGCACCTGTGACACAGTCGTCTGCAGAGCAAAATTCTTCCGGATGATGGCTCAGTCCATCCTTACATGGCACGAATATCATACTGGTGGGCACCCTCTTCGAAGTGAAGACACTATCATGTCCCGCACCGCTCATAATCGTCCTCACAAGGGATTTGGGCTCTGGCGCATCGGCGACAACAGCTTCTGCAGATTGCTGCACGCAATCGATACAATCCGGGTGGAACTTGACCGCTGGAGAATCGAATTCTACAGTCCATTCGACCCGACAAGGCTTACCAATGCCTTTGCCTTCTTCCGCGGCAATGGCATCGAACTCCTTTCTCAATTTCTCCTCAACAGTTTCAACCAATTCGGTTTCAGGACCGCGAATATCGAGGGAGAAGCTGACAAGGCCGGGCACGGTATTGACACTACCAGGTTTTGCCTCGACGATGCCAACACTGGCTAAACAACCGTGGGAAGAAGCAACTTCCCGGGCACGCACCATCATTTGAGCGAAGGCGTACAGCGCATCTGCGCGATGTTGAAAAGCCGTGGTGCCAGTATGGGTGTCTCTACCCGTCACATTGACTCGATACCAGCGGTAGGCCTGGACGGCAGTAACAACACCAACGCGTTGACCTGCCGAAATCAGATGAGGCCCCTGTTCAATATGAAGCTCGAAATGGGCTGCCATAGGGGTCGCTTTATATGAACAGGGAACATCTCCTAAATAGCCGATCTTTTCTAGCGCCGATTTCAACGACTCTGGGGCAGAAGATGCAGTGGGGAGCGAGGCCACCGTTGGCACCTCTATGAGCCCATGTGCCCGTGAAAGAGGTATAGAACCTGCCCATACCCCAGAAGAGACCATACTGATGGGGAAACGAGCCCCCTCTTCGCTATTGGGGCATTAACGTAAGCGCTTGGAATTGTTTCGGTTTGACCCGGGGATCTCTTACTTCGTCCAGTTTACAACGCCCACACCTCCTTCTGTCTCCAGGCCCATCTCATCGATGACTTTCAAAGCTTCAATACCTGAGAGAACACCCAGAATCCCATCGTAACGACCGCCTGTTGGCTGCGTGTCCAAATGGCTGCCAATGAATGTCGGGGGCACGTCCTTTGTCCGGCCGGGACGCACAGCGAAGATATTGCCCATTTCATCAATCGTGATTTCGCATTTTAATGCTTTGGTTGTTTCAATGAACCAGTCCCGCACGGATTTGTCTTCTTCAGACAGCGTCAGGCGCTGCATTCCTGTGTCCGTCGGTCCACTAGGTTAGGAGTCAGCGTACTGAAACCAGAGATATGCTTATGACGACGTGGGGATACGAATGCGGGATTGAAAGGGAGCAACAGGGTTCAATTATCTTTTGACTATGTCTAATGGTTCGTAAAGGAACCTTTTCGATGCCAATGTAACTTAAAACGCCAGAAGCTGATGATACTTACTGTCCCCAACGTATACCAAACCCCCATTGACAACTGCGATGAAGGTCTTTCGCAAGGCGTTCCTTGTTAGCTCTAAGCGCCGAAACCTCCGCCTCGGACAGCTCTGTCGTCAACATGGCTTGTTTTAGGGAAACGGAGAAGGCCCGGCGTGGTTGGGTCAGTACTGTTCTTGTGAACGGCAATACTCTCGACTTGGCCGGTAATCTCTTAAGCGATACCGTAGCGGACTTGGAAAATATGAAAGACGCCATGTTGCCCTTTGATATATACACAAAGAGGGGTGGGCAGAGATGCAAATGTCGACTGTTGGAGATGGGCAGATAAGGCAACTTTGGGGAGACGTGATAAGATAGCTTTGCGGGGTTAATCTTACTTCGGCGATCTCATCAAATTGGAGGCCAATTAAGTTCAAATTGTTATTTATGATAGCCTGCAGGGATCGGGCTTTTGTTGCTTCTCCAATTCGGCTGTTGGGGTAGAGCGCCAAAGCGTGACCCTTGCACGTATACCTAGATGGCAGACTGGGAGCGGACAATTGTCCGCTCATAGATGCCCTTACTCCAACATAGTCCAAAGCTCATATGGCCTATCACAGGGTTAGTGTCGACTAAAGATTTGAGACTTTATAACGCAGATAAGAAGTGGTCTTCAGATAGATATACAGGGACTTGGTATGCAGTCGACAAACCCAGCACGTGGAAGATTATGTCATGTCTCTTATGCACACGAGTTTTGGTAGACATGATCCACGCACCAAGGTTGAGACCCGACCCATTACCGCCTTATATGAGCTAGGAAAAGAAAGTTTGTAAAGAAGAAGGCTATAATTATTTTGACGGCAAAAAAATAAAACAATAAAAATCGACAACTGTGTCGATGGAAAGGTCCAAAGATTCAATAGAGGAGTATTGTGGGCAAACCACGGCCATCTCTGGTAAAAGGCAAGAAATGGGTTCTGAACTAGCTTGTCCCACTCCTCATCTGTCTTACTTTTATAGTGATATTTATCTGCCTTTTAAAATGCCAAGACCGCGTTGGTTCGAAACCCTCCACTGCTACCGAACCTCTCGTTTTTTGTTTTTCATTCCATTCTTTCCTACCATACGGGAATATTCCCCCGTTGCGTTCCGCCTCCAAATAACAACCCCGCATCAGCAAGCATACACTTTTCTTCAATTTCGATTTCGATTTCTCAGTGTACCCTTACTATATACCTCATAACATAATACAAAACACTACTATACCAACATGTCTTCTGCCGCCTGTATCTTCTGCAAGATCATCAAGGGTAATGATTATCCAATGCCATTTTAGACTTTCTACATCCTATAGCAGTTGTTTTGCCCCAGCTTCGTCATGGGTGAAGCTCCTCAAGCAATAATGACGGGACGTCTCTAACATGCACACGAACCAAAACAGGTGATATCCCTTCCTTCAAGCTCTTCGAGAGCGACAAGGTCTTTGCTTTCCTCGATATCCAGCCTCTGAGCCGTGGCCATGCGGTAAGTGTTCACTCCCTTGACTGTTGTCTGCTATTTTATCCCCGCACGGCAATCCCAATTCCCAGCACCCCTCTATCGAGGGGAAGATACTCACCTTTTACGCAACAACCACCTTCAGATCACATGTATTCCTCCTAATTAAACAAACAGCAACGCTAATAAACGAATAACAGCTCGTGATCCCCAAGTTCCACGGCGAGAAACTCACCGATATCCCCGACGAGTACCTCAACGAGGTCTTGGTATGTAACCACCCACCCCGGACCGGGCTTGCCTTAAATAAGGTCTCAGCACCTGAGGACCTTGCGAGAAAGCCATTGCACGAGGACCCAATCTTCCCCGCAGCTTTTGACCTCTCACAAGCTGAACGAGCTAACCACGCATGATTTGTATCGAACAGCCCGTCGCAAAGAAGCTCGCACAAGCTGCTGACGCAAAGGACTTCAACGTCCTCCAGAACAACGGCTCGATCGCCCACCAGGTCGTTCCACATGTATGTTCAAACCCTTCCTTCTCCTCTGATGGGGCTAAATGTTGCTGATTTTGTGGATACTTGACTGACTCGTTATTAGGTTCATTTCCATATGGTACGTTAGCTTGGCTCTTTTTTCTGGGATGACAGGAACCACTTTTCTGAGTTTTGGTTCTGAAACGGCCCTCCGCTCCGGTATCTATTTTATGGAATCGATGCTAACTTAATTCGTTGCAGATCCCCAAGCCTAATGAGAAGGAGGGTCTCGGTGTCGGCTGGCCCGCTCAGGAGACTGACATGGACAAGCTCAAGGCTCTCCACGAGGAACTCAAGTCCAAGATTTAGATGCCACAATGACTATGTATAATCCGTACCGTGTCACTAAACCTGATTTGAAAGCGTCGGGTGGGATTTGTATCACGTATCTCCAGGTGACACCGCATCTGATATATATCCTTGGTCAATAAAAGATTACATTAAATTTTCGTGTAAGCTACGGCTGACTTAGTCTGGTGTAACCCGTGCAGAAAGGAGAGCAAAAATGTTGTTCTTTGAGCTGTGGCAGCTAAGCGGGTTCTTTCGTTCTGGAGCGGGCAACCCTTAGGTTCGGATTCGATTTCATCTGATAAATGGACGGTTTCATTGAGATGCTCCTTTATTAGCAGGTAATACTTCGTCTAAAAATAGTGTCATGAGCTTGTCTCAATTTTGGTAAGATGTAAGATCATTGCTTCATGCGGCAGTTTCTCCGAAGATATCTGCAGCTTCAGTCTTGGGCTGCATATAGAGCATAGGTATAGTTGACACAAACGGTCCATCGGGTCAGCTACATTGCCATATTGTATACTAGAACGAAGAAAATATCTACTGATTCCGACAGACGGTTATTGTATAATCAAAATTCCATTATATACAAGATACATGTATGATCTGAATACCTAGATGTCGTTCTATCAATGAACTCCAAACACCTGGAAACCCCGATCTAGTTGGATGTGCCGTTCGTGACACCGTTCGTGGCAGTTCCATTCGTAGCAGTTCCGTTCACTTTGGCCTCAGCCGGATAGAAATCAATCTTTCCACCGCCCTGAAGAATGTTCAGTCTGTCGTATAGCGAGGTAGCGCGAATGTACGGGTCGAGCTGCCAATATTGAACCCTCAATCGCTCAATGAGCGCCTGTCTCTTCTCCACCGCTGCCTTAATGGCTTCCTGGTCCTTCTTCCTGCTGACCGTGATCCACTCGATCGTGGCATCCTGGAGGTCTTGAGCAAGTTGTTGCCTTTCCTTGACCAACTCATCTCGCTTGGCCGTATCTTCCATCGTCTTATTTTCATCAGCCTTGGGCTCTACATAGCTGTATTCCCAGTCCTCGTCGCCCTCAAGCTCCTTATAAATGCGATCCCTGGGGATGAATTTCTCAAGGTCTGAGACATTCTTGGTAAAGTTAATCTTGGATGCAACCACGGGATCAAGCCAGCCCTTAATGATATTCCAAATTCCTATACGGCATATGTTAGATTGTTGCTCGTTGATTACGCAGATGAGGATACGTACCGGAGAAGATCCAAGGGGCTTTGTGGATAAGCACAACTCCCAGGCATTCGGGATAATTAGCCTCGAAGCACTTGATCATGAATTTAACTGGATGATAGTCCTAGTAAATATTAGAAAATGTTCGTGTGTTGACCAGAAAAGGTATAAATACCATGTTTGCTAAAGAGAAGTTGGTCATGTCGAAGACCACACACTACCGCATGTTAGATGCTTGTATTCGGCTCATGCAGTAATAGGAAACTTACAGCTGTTTCAACTGGAGGCGAGAGCATCATCCGGGCAGATTCAATGGTGTATACCGTAAACCGATCCAGAGTATCCGTGCTCTGATCAGCCGGCTTGTGCAAGCGCACCCTGATAACGCAAATAGGCCGTCCATCTTTGTCAACACCGTGGATATAACCCTTACCCATGCGCATCTGCTTCAGGAACTCTTCGCCCTTCCTCTTCTCTTCAGGGTCCGAGCTCTTCGACTGCTCTAGGGCAGCCAGCTCGCCATTCTTAACAATATCATCGTCGACTTTCACATCCTGCAATCTCCATCTGATTGTGGAGACCAACATGATGAGCGCTTTCTTGATATCCCACTTGCGCGCCCGAAGGAAGCGCAGGAGCAAGGAGTCGGGGTTATCTTGCTTAACCATGTTCCACAGTGTAACCCGGATCTCCTCAGGCTTCATGTCGGTAATTGCTTGCTGGAATTCCTTGGACTGTCCATATTTGTCATCTCCATCGGTAATGTTGATGGAAGCAATGCTATTTGTAACACCATTTGTTGTGGTGTCCTCCTCCTCGTCATTGCTCTTTCCACCAAAGAAGGTGAACCTCCGCTTTGGTGGCGCTTTCTTCTGGGACGACGGGCTTGGGGGCGTGGCGACATCGCCATTCGATTCAATCTCTTCCACGTTAACGCCGCATACCTTCAGCAGCAGAACCCAAAACTCCTGAAGTTTGACTTCCTGCTCTGGGGTCAGGTTGCCCACGGTTCCGGGGGCAGCTTGGATAGGCATTGTTTTGAGGGTATCTATTACACCGAGAAAGGGAGGTTTGTCTTGATCAAATTCCGGAGTGTCCGAAATGAGGTGGGATTCGTTTCCGGGATGACGGTATTTATCCTGCAGCCAGGTCGCTCCACAGACAATAGCTAATGTGAATGTGATCGCCCAAAAAGATGAAGCCTTCCTCGGCCCGTTAGGAGGTGATACAGGTAAAGTGGAGAAGGGGTGTTTGGGTGGATTCGACGCAATTAAAAAGCACGAACTTGTACCCAGGTGTTTCGGGAAGATCTGTGCACTGGCAGAGAAAGATGAGACAGATTGGACGGATCTGGCCGAGGAAAGTAAGAGACGGCGGCGCAAGAACCAACCAGTATGCATGTGCTATGAGCAAATGACAGGAATAACGACGACTTCTGGCGTTCCCCTCTTGCGTTATTTCAAGTGAGACAGACGAAGATCCAACCCCTGAAAAGTTTGATTGAACCGGGGGTATGCGGGGAATCCACAAAATAAAAAAAAAAAAGAGGAGGCAAAAGGGAGTTCGGAGAGAGACTAAAGAAAGGGTCGCCTGAGGGTCTTCCCCCCTGAGCCACCGGCCAGCCACTAAATTTAGGGCCTGGCCGCCTGAGGCAACTGCCGTCGGTCATTCGGCTCCAGCGCAAAAGCGGGGGATCAACAGACGGCGTCAACAAAACAAAATCCAATCTAACATCCACACTCCTTCCAATTATCGGTGCCACAATATTAATTGGTCACATTTTCCCCCAGATTTCCAGATTTGAGGCACGTTCGCACTCCTTACCCAATTCGTCCTACCACATCTTGCGTCACTTCCCCATTGTACCTCGGAATTTTTTCTCTCACGGCCATGGACTCTACTGCTTTTGCCCGATCGTCTTCGCGTCCAAGACCTTCATCCAGGCCCACGACCCCTCTACGACCCAGCTCTCGGTCTTCATTACGTGAGGCACATGGCTATGGAGGAAGCATCAGCAATGCAGGCTACACCCAACCTGCGATCAATGCCCTCGAACCACAGTTTGCAGAGCTCGCAGACTCCATGGCCGATCTTGAGGCCAATTTTATGCACCTCCAGTTGATGCACGAGAGTCTTACGCGCTTTAGCGAGAGCTTTGCTAGTTTTCTCTACGGCTTAAACATGAACGCCTTTTGTGTAGATTTTCCAGAGGTATGGCTACGCGATACCAAACATCTTACCATACTAATTGACGGGCGCAGGCTCCGATCGCCGAATCATTCAAAAGAGCCAAACAAGCGGAGGCTCAGAAAGGTATCAATGTCGCACTACATCTGATGGAAATGTATGGCACTAACACTCTCCAAGAAGCTGAAGTGGAGCAAAGTCGACCGACTAATGAAGGCGAAACGACGTTCATGTGGGTCATTGATTGTTTCTCATGACTACATACTATATTTGATGGGTTTTGCTGACCATAATGTTAAATTTCAGGACTACTGACACCACTTTCGTTGAAAATCCTTCAAGTACAATTTCCCCCAAACCGGTACGCAAAACTCCTACTTCGTCGCGGGGGACCACGAGAGGGTCTAGCACTCGTGGTCGTTATACAACTAGAGGCACTAGTCGAGCTCGTCCAAGCGCGCTGCCAAGGGGCAGAGGGCTGCGGTGAATATCATGATGAAAATTTCATGATCCTTCTCAATGGACCGACTCGTATTTGCACGAACATGGCCTGTCGATTCCTTTGCTCGTACAAAGGATATCTATCGCTAACCGGCATACCATCGGCATTCCATGGTGAAAACCTATCAAAACTTAAGCAGCGCGATGGGTTAGGGGAGTGGTTGATCTATGCTAGAGAGTCTAATCGGGACTTCCCCATGGAAGACATTCTATTCTGGCCACCATGCCTTGATTTCCGAGCGGCCGAACTATTTGGCCCTACGAGGATTCCTTCGTGTAAGGACTGAGAACCTCGAGCAACATCCGGATTTCAGCAGGTCCTTTGTACCTAGTACTGCCGTCTAAATTCAGTACATTCGAGTCTAGGTATTCATATATCAACGTGAACCAGACTAGGAGTTCTTGCCGGAATGACTATCGGGTCTCTGGCCGCTTCTACATTAGGGATAAAATCACAGACGATCGTAAATCAGTAGTTTCTATGTTCTTTTTTTAAGGTGACGGTGATAGGGACCACATGTTGAGAACTATCATATCAATACGTACCGTATTTCTCGGATCAAATGCAATCCCGGTTTCTTATCGCTCGGAAGTCGTAACCCTTGCGGCAAAAAAAAGATCTTTCAATCTGTCATGGCCTCTGCTTTAGTCGCCAGTGCCAATCGCCATTCCAAGATCTCAGCGCAACTATTCCCTAGACTCGTACTCAGGCTGATTCATATCAGATATATATAATATATCTTTTGTTCGGGGCCTCTTGATCAGCCTAAGAGACAGAAACCCGGTGTTACGGAGTTAAGGGACCTTACTTATCTGGGGTAGCGTTCGGGACGGAGCCGACGGCGGAACACAGAAAGTGGCCGCGCAGACCATTTGCGGTCACCACATCCAACCCAGACATTCTCTAATCGCGGCAGTTCAAGGTCTTTCTTTGTTGGGAGCAGGCCTCCAAGAACCATGATGCTGATGTGATACAGCCAAGGTACTTGACGGCGTTTCAATCCATGGATTTCCATTGTGTCTGCAGGTGAACCCAACGTCACTCTCTCTTCCATCTATGCGAAGGATCCCTTGGCACCCACTGTGATATATCTACAATCGTTCTTCGGTGTCGCGGGCTTATCCTTGGCCGCACAGCTCTTTTAATACTCCTGGTACAACATATAATCCCCTTAATCCCACTTCGCAATGGCTAGCGTAGCTTGTGTGTCTCTCCTCTCCGAGGCGGAGTTTGGTTGCGGTATGCGCTCACCCTGGAAGCGCCTAGAACTTGTCTTTAATGCTAACTTGTCTGGAAGAGCATCTTACGGCGCAACTTTCCCAGGACGGAGGTGCGGGTGACCAGTTTAAAGCATCATTCATCAAGACACATAATGCTTTAGCTCCTCGCTCCAAATCTGGGGAATCGGCTACTACACAGAAAGGCCTACGCACAACCAGCTTTCTAAAACCAAAGTACATGTGCCTGACCTGCTCCGACCCATTCATGAATGGTGACCGAAAGGCCCATACAGAAAGGACTGGCCATCAATTCTGTGAGTAGGTCAAACTTGTGACCAGAGCCATTGGCTGACCGTTACCTCAGACATGGAATCAAGAAGTCGCACGCTATTCTGCCAGGGGTGTGGAGACTTCGTTTATGATTACGGCCTGGAAAGACTGAGATCATCAACGCCAGAAAGCACGCTAAAACGTATGCATACCATCCTGCCCTTGAGATCTCACCCATAGCTAAATCCTATCTAGTTGCTCAAAAACGTCGATTTAGCGAAAGCTCGACGGACGAGCTATACGTCAGGAGCAATGCAAACAAGCGCTCTTGTGCAAAGCAAGGTGTCAGGGGGCTGTTCAACCTTGGACAAACATGCTATTTGAATGTCATTCTCCAGACACTCCTTCATGACCCGATCCTCAACACTTACTTTCTAGGAAGCGGGCATCAATCCCACGACTGCACTAATTCTGATTGTATAGCATGCGCTGTTGCAGAAGCATTTGCGGACTTCAATAGCAGTGATAAGGCAGAAGGGTTTGCAGCCCTGAACCTCCTTTTGGCCTCGTGGCGTGCAAGCTCTGTACGTCATCGTCCCTTTAAATGCTACATGAATATCAACTAATCGACTCTGGCAGGCCTTAGCGGGATATCAGCAACAAGATGCCCATGAATATTACCAGTTTCTTGTCGACAAACTACACTCTAGCACTGACGGACACCACGAGAATCACGAAAAAGGCTGCCCTTGCTTTTTCCACAGGACATTTTACGGCAAGCTCCGAAGTAGTGTAACATGTGACAAGTGTGGAAATATCACTCGTACGGACGATCCCATGGTGGATCTAAGTTTGGATGTCCAGGTGCAGGCGAAGAAGCGCGCCATGGGTGGTGCTGGGCCTTCGTCCACGCCCACGCTGAGCGGATGTTTGGAAAGCTTCACATCCCCTGAAAAGCTTATGGCAGGCGTTTACAACTGCAGCGGTTGCGGGGGAAGCGCTCAAAAGGCCACGAAGCAACTACGTATTAAGAAATTGCCGGCAATTCTATGCATGCAACTAAAGGTAAGTCGCTACATCGAGCTTCTCACCAGACTCTTAACTGATTTTATTGGAGCGCTATGAACATACATTCTCGGTCTCCGAGAAGCTAGAAGGCCGCATAGACTTCCCACTGTCTATCAACATGCTCCCGTACACGACCAACCCCAACTCCCGCGTGGATAAATCGAGGTATATCTATGACCTCTCATCTGCCGTGGTTCACAAAGGAAAGCTGGACGCAGGACATTACTACGTCTACTGCCGGCAGGGTGATGAGGTTTGTTTTCCATCTACCATGACTTGTCACCATGCGTGAACAAATAACTGTGAAGTGTGGGCCATCGCTAACATGAACAGTGGATACTCTTCAACGATGACCAAGTCACATCTGTGACAGAGGCCGATGTCCTCAGTGCCGATGCATATCTTCTCTTTTACAATCTTCGGTCCTTGGCCGGTGCTCCGCCGCAGTAGGAGAGCCTAGATTCACCACATTGTAATGTGGATTGATTGCTCATTGCATGCTTCTTTAGCGGCTAGGAGTCTATGGGCATGGGTTTATATCATTGTTTGCAATATACATCTGTATCACTTAGGTCACTGTAGTAACATCGACCTATAGAAAACTAAGCCGTTGCATGACAAGAGTCATTTGTCTTGAAGAGACATAGCGCTTAACACTCAACTGCTTTAGTACTAGTACTCGTTAGTGTCTATACATGTTGACAAATTACATATTTCACCCAAGGGTTCACCACCAGACACTTTCTTCTACATGTATAGGCGACATCCAAGCTATTCAAGGCATATCATGACGTCCGATCATTAAAGCAATTCAATCTGAGTGCCGACGGTCCAGTAATCTATCACCGCTCGGTATAGCAAGGGACACCGGTGTTTTCATAACTTAAAACCGATCATGATAGCACACAAAGTCCTACCGAGATCATTACGGGCACTACAAACCAACATCGCAGTGCGAACAGCATATGCTCATTAAATCTTTCAGTCATCGACCAGCGCGTCTGGAGTTGTGGAGGAAGAAAGAGATCAAGAGAGCCCAGATAATGAATTCCAGAAAAGTTCCTCGTTTCAATTCATGTATGAATTGGGAGAAAAGAAAAAGGGGTTCGACATGACACCTCTTAAAATAATTGTCAACACCGGCATCCGTGCATGATTTTCCTCCAACAACTTTTATTATTCCACATCTGTTTCCCCGTCGGAATCCCAAGCGAATCGAATCGGTGTCCTTTCCGCTATTTCCCAAGGTTGTTACCGAGCGCCGAGGACGTAACGAATTTCGTGACCAGGAATTTCCAGTTGATATTTGATTTAACGGTACTGTAGTTTGGTAAAACATGTGTGTTAGTGATAGGGTTCTGGCTTTCTCCACCTGCACTCCCCAGCTCAACGTGTTCCTTTTTTCTTCTTTTTTCGAAGTATCTTTTCTTTCGTCGTAGTTGCTGGGTTGTGGGTGGTATAATATTCAATCGCGAAGGCCATGTCACGAACCTTGTAGAAACCGATGTCCTGAGACTTCTCACGGAAGCACTGACGGCAGATGTTCATCTATAACCCCATATCAGTTTCATACATCTCAACACACTTCTTTCGGAGATTCGATATATTCCACATACACCGTACTTGCGGATAAGACCAGCGCGGTGGGTGCAAACGCGGCTAAATCGTAAAAACCACAATCAGTCCCAAACTGTCCCATCACCCATTTCAACCAACACTATAGAACCCGAAGTTCTCATCGTCGTCTAGAGGGAGGGGAGCGGTTTCAAGCCTTCACATACCATCCACGGGAGCCCTTGCCGTAACTATATCGCAAAAAGAACCACCATTAGCCAAAACGTTTCTTTTATCGTCAAAATTCACGGAGAATACGGGGAGTCCTTACGTGCGAGGACGGCTGTACCACACGGACTCGTGAGTCATCTTGAATTGATTCGACGGCGAGGAAAACCTGGCGGGTTGACGGTGTTTGGGCAGGCGGTTTGTCGTCGCTGGGCGGTTGTGGTTGAACGGGAGAACGAATGTTAGGGTTGGAAAATCCGTTGTGTGCTTTCTCTGTTCCCGATTCGGACCAGCTCGCTTGAGCGGCGCTAAACTTTGTTGGGATGGGCTGCGGGTTAGGATATTATGGTCATGTGATGGTCCAGTCTTTACTGTGTTGGGTTTAGTGCATGTATTTATCGGGTGTCTGGGGATCGGCGGGCGTAATGTTTCTCCTTCTGCGCTTTCTACTATGTATGTACTTTACTTTATTAACTATGCGAGATCTGCCAGGTGAGAATCACAGCGATCCTTGACTGGAAGATGCGTGGCTGGTATCCAAAGTATTGGGAATACGTGGAAGCACTGGATACAGTTACACCTAGTGATGGCTTTGACGATTGGTGACCTAGCTGCCTCTAATATCGCTGTACTACATGACCAAAAGAACATGTAGTGGATTTGATGTTGAGTAGATGGTATGGCTGAATTAGTAGATACTAAGCATTAATCTTAATCTTACTAAAGGAAAGGAAAAGTCAACGCAAATGAGAAAACAAGCTAATCGAAAATATGACAAGGAGGGTCTGAGTTATTCACTGGTGTCGCGAAAGCACATTTATTGGGGTCAGACTCTTAACTGGAATAAGATGAGGCTGTTTTGATGAGAAACTTACCAGTTGGTTAAACATGGTGACCCGGTCCAATAGCTTCAGCTATTGTTAAGCTTGACTTACAGTACCTATATGAAGGCATCAGTACCATACGTATTCATGATGAAGAACGTGAGGTAGTAAGTGAATTTTTAGGAGCGACTTTCGCTGAATTTACATCAAGGGTGGTAAGAATATGTGGAGTGGATACAGGAGTTATTGTTAAATTGCAACTTTTGCAATGGCAAGACAAAGATAAGAGGAGCGGTGCCATGCAGCAATTGCCAGAGGGAACGGGCATATTGAATAGGTTCAGATTCAAATATACCCACCCTCCCTTAGATACTCATAACTATCATGAACACCGTAACCGCTTTCCAGGTCATCATCGTCCTCATCCTCATCCTCATCACCTCAAGAATCAACATCCGTCACCTTCTGCCCATTCACATCCTCCACCCAAGTCCAATAACCATCATAATATGGAATCAAACCAGGCCTCCCAATACCCGGATCTTGTTCCCCAAACTCCACCGTATCAAACGAATACGAAAACGGCCAAATCCCACCAATCGTCAAACGGACCCAACTTACATTATAAGGCTCGTGCCTATACCCTTTATCAGGAAAATTGCGATGAATCAAGATAACTTATCCGATTTTTTCAGTAATCCAATTTCCAGTTTCAAGGGAGGGCTCTGGACTCGCCAGAATTGATTGAAGGGCATGGTCATCGATCATTAAGCAAAAGGTTGACCGTGGTGTGCCACCATTTGGATGTCGTTTTAGCCAGTCTTGGAACAGTTGCCAGACTTTTGACAGGCGAAGCCCCTTCTAACAATTCTCTATCATCAACAATGACGTTTTTACAACCCTCCCAGACGATCTCGGCTGGCTCAGGATTATCATCATATCTTATAGTGCAGTGAATATAGCGATGGAGTTTGGCAAGGGCCTGGTTCCAGTCTTCGTCGGAACCGTATGTTGTCCAGTAGATGAAATAACCCCACGGCCAACCTTGGCACCAGTGGAAGGACTACTTGAAGAAACGCCCTGAGAGAGACTTGCCCCACCATGGTTGATTTTCAAGACGATTATAGAATTTCACTTGCCCTTGGTCTGGCGAAAAGTCGGATGAACTCCATGGTTCAGACCAGGACTTGTGGTGAAAGAATCCATTGTACGAATCAGGTGACGATGGTCTGGTTTGGTCCGACATTGTACAAGGAGACAAAGGTCTGCTGGTTTGGTGTAGCTGGGATTCTATGCTTTTTAATAAGAGTGCCAGGGGCTTAGGCATTGAACCTACAGGTGGGGTAACCTACGGCAACTATGTAGTACCACTACGATGTCTCATCATCACTGCTGTTGCTATAATCGTTGTCAAACCCCGCGATAGTTCCAACACAGTAAGCATTTCCAACCACGAGCTTCTCGTCGCAGACACCTGTTGCCAAGGATGGATTGGCCTTCAAAAACAGTTCCCAGTCAACAGACTCTTAACGCAGATCTTTGTGCATGTTTCTTTAGCCTCCTGGTCTGCCACAACGTGCCATCTTGCACATCTCAAGGTTGTTCCTTCCGGAACAGTGGCGTTGGTTGGAGGCGGAGACTCGGTATCACCTCCTTCCTGCGGCAAAGAAGTCACACCTGTGGGGGGTGCGGTGCCAGTTGATGTACCACCCTGAGGTGCCCCACAGAGGATTTTCCCGTATACTTCATTACTCGCCTCACTAAAGATTGGAACAGTCATGTGTGAGCCATGGGTTATATTTGCGGACATTGTAGCCCGCGGCATAACCCAATCCAAGGGACTTTTCAATGGAAACACACGTATCGCTGTCCTTGAGTGTGTACGTAGGCTTGCAAGTGAAAGGGAGGCAAAGTTCTATACCGGCGGGGATATCTTTGCAATTGAACAAATTAGGATTGCCGATAAATAGAGCGGCAGATGAGACGCTGTGTTTCAGAGCGATGTTATCCCATGTATCCCCGGAAACAGTGGTGTAAGTTGTGTCGGAGGCACAGAAAGTAAGATTATTGGCATATGGGTTCGCCGGTTCCTCGATGGGTGGAGGGATATCGGTCGGTGCGGAAAGATCACATTTTGAGTTCATAAACTCAAGGTCCGATTGATATGTTTCGTCGTAGATAGAGTACGACGTTGACTGCATCATCTCATAACGTTTGACTGGCCATTTGTCCGAGATTCTGGCTGCGCTCTAAACGGAACGGCGGTCTGCAGTTAAAAACGAGGCGTTTATCGAATGGTATGGACTTGTAGTCACGGGGTATTGATTGGTATTGCCCCAATCGTTCTGTCAGATCATTAACATGCTGCAGTGGGTATATTTTACTATTGTCTAAAGCAGAGAATAATGGTGAGTCCTAAAGAATAATGGAGAGTACTATGGGTACAGCAGTGGCTAGCAGTAGCCAGTAGAAAGAATAGTGGAGATAGGTGAAGATCGGCCCAAAAGAACTAGAAATTAGACTAGGTGGGGCTATAACAAGTAGTGTATAGGTACACGGTCTTATACTACATGATTACCCAGCATAATCATCACCTAGACAAATATCTTTGGTACCACCCATGAGTAGCAGTATCACAATATGCAGTCAACAATGAGCAGCACATAGGAGGTAGAACTCTGGATTGAGGAGGGACAGTTGAGAGCAGCAAGGGGAAGAATCTTATATACTTCAAGAGGTTACATGTGTATCAGATCAGGTGACCGTACTAAAAACAGCCAAAACTAATCGAAACAAGGGATTGACAGGTCCTCGCTTTACATATAAAAACAATGGGATTTCCTGAGCCTCACATTTACTTACCGCAAAGTTTGCATACGCACACAGTCATCTTGCTTCATGGCCGCGGGAGTAATGGACCTGAATTCGCCGAGGAGCTCTTCTCCTCCATGACCTCCAAGGGCCACAATTTGGCCTCGTGCCTCCCGAGCTGGCGTTGGGTATTTCCCACTTCTCGCGATCGTTGGAGTGACAGATTCCAGGAAGAAATGTGTGCCTGGTTTGATGCATACTCCTTGGATGACATCCATGAACGACAGGATTTGCAGATTGCCGGTTTGAGGGAGTCGGTCACCCACATCTTGGGCATCCTGAACCACGAAATAGGAATCCTCGGTGGGAATACCAGCCATGTTTACCTTGGAGGTATCAGTCAGGGGATGGCAACCGCCATATGGACATTGTTCTGTGCCACCAACCAGATCCATCAGCCACTTGGTGGCTTTGTAGGGTTTTGCGGCTGGCTACCATTTGCACGGCAGGTGGAAGATCTGGTTCAAGGATCACAGGAAAGCCATGTTGTCGACCCTTCCAGCAAACAACTGACACAACGTTCGGTATCTGGTTTCTTTCTCAATACCATCTCCGGTTCCAAGATATCGCAGACAATTGAAACCATCGACGCTTCAATCTTATTAACGCCTGTATTTTTGAGCCACGGAAGCGACGACGCGTGGGTGCCCGTGGACCTGGGTCGACAAGCAGCTCGAGTCTTACAGCAGATGCAAATCCCTGTTCAGTGGCATGAGTTCAATGGGGCAGAGGGTGACGGCCATTGGGTCAAAGAGCCCGAGGGGTTTGACCAGATTCTTCACTTTCTCGAGGAATGCCGCAGTCACACTTAGGCAAGACGCCACTTGTGCGACGAGACATGCTACACGGTCCTCATAGACATAAAAGGACGAAATGATACCACTGCTATATGTCAGTAATACAAGAAGCCTGTATAGATGTCACACGTTATGTTCCAGCATTCCGAGCCACTTGTGATAGCTTCGAGACTTGGGTTTATCCTTCAATCATCAGGTCAGCGTTACTATACTAGTAATATCAATAAAGGTTGCAGTTAGAACAGATCCCTGCTGTATGGAAAAGAATGACGCGCTTTGTAGAATCCCACGATGCCACATGGGAGTCTAACTACAATTCGAAAATGAAAGCACGTCCCGTCCTAGTCTCTAAATGGCGAACTTCTTCTCGAGACTAGTAATTAGTAAACAGCACATGCATTCAAAAAACGAACGCTCGATTCCACTTCAAAATCTTCTAGATCCCATCCACCAAATGACCCATAAAAACCCCACTTACATAGGAAAACTGCCCTAGTTAGCGTCTCTCCTAGTCCGCAAAGCACGCACCTGAATATTAGTACACATTAGGTAAACAGCGATCCGTGGAAGGGCCGGTTATCCAGCCGTAGGGGAATGAATTGACCACTCTGATTGGTGGGGAAGCACTGACGATCTCGGAGATTGGCCCTCACGAGTCACAACACGACGAGCATCAGGTGCCGGATTTCCGATGCAATTACTAGGAAGAGTAAAAACTCTACGACGATGGGAGGATACTGGAGAAGGGAGTTCGTTCCGTCCGGGATTGTCACGGATCAGATCGAAGACGGCTTGTGACAGATTTACTAGTCATTGTGCCGTTTAACTTTTTATGTACATAATTAAATCCTTTTTGGGAGATGTCAGCCCACCCTACGTACTTTTCTGGGGGGGGATACGTCATGGGGCTGAAATACGTTCGTACACAATATGTCAATACTATCTGCGGAGTGAGGTCCCTGTGTCTTACTCCGGTACAGATAAGATGCAAGGAATTAAGTAGGCAGGAATCGATACATCATGCGTTTTTGTTGACTTAAGAAATCGGCCTTCCTTGGAACGGACGGCCAGGCATTCGGGTACTGGATACGGTTAGGGTTGACGGTTTTTACAGGTTACAGGGCAGGTAGCGCCCGTCCAGCTCCAATAACCTAAAAGGGATGGTCTTCGGATTTCCAATTTAAGGTCATCCTAGTACGTAGTTAACAGGGCTAGTTAACTCATCACTCCCGATTATGTAAGATATCACCGACAAGACTTCACGAGCTGCTATGACTGTACCCAAGGATGATAGCAATTATGAAGGATAAAGCTTTCAAAAACCGTGGTCTTATGATTTCGCTAAGAGGATATAAACAGTTAGAATTCCCGTCACCACGCTAGACCGTTCATTATCGCCAAGCCCATACCCTTTAATTAGTCGAGATAGTGGGTCTTGGAGTCACTAACAGCACGGACAATTTCTGTGATGTATGTATGCATGTTTCCTATGTATAAGCCCATCACAACTATGGCTTCATTTTTCACTAGTTGATCGTGGCGTGCTTTGTCCAGCTCTGTACCAGGCACAATAAGTACTAGTAATTCCCTTCTGTCTGTCAGTGATGTCCAAGGGTTGTCGCCAAGCAGGAACTGCCTTGGAGTACCAAGTCCTCGAGGGAACGTTCAGGAACGAAAGAGATCAAGATGAATAATGATGACAAGGATCAAGGTGAAAATGACTAATAGAGCGGAGCGAATGAGTCACACCACTCGAACGGAAAAGCATAAGCGAAAGGCAACGAAGAAGTGTAAATTATAAAAAATAAAATAAATAATAATAAAGAAGAAAGCTCCAGAACCTTTTTGAAAAACACTAACTTGTAATTCCGAAGGAAAAAAAGATGTGTGCCCCCGATGGGAAAGTGCGTGTGTATACGATGTGGTACCGAGTACAGATGGACTGATTTAATCTACTTGCTTACGGAGTATGTTATGGCTTTTTTCTTATTTTTTCTTTTTTTTTTTTTTTTTTT